CGCTCGCTGTAGGGCGCTGATGTATAGTGTTTTGTCGGCATCATTATCAATGAAGTCCGGGAGGGTCACCGCTAGTTCTCCAGGTCGAAAGCCGGCATTCCCAAAGTCAAGGAGAGCAGCTACATTGCCCTCATTGTCCACCAAGATGTTCCGACCGGCTAAGTCCCCATGCGAAAAGTGGAAGGTGTGCTGATCTCCCGCATGAAGATCGAGGAAATCGTAAAGCTCGATGAGTTTTCTGCCCGGGCCTCTGTTTTCCAGTGGCATGAGACCCGGTTTACCTAGGAAAGCAAATGCCTCGAGCAGATCGCGCTTGGTCATGAATGGACCGCACTGATCCGCCGGGATAGCACCGCCTTTGAAAAGCGGATCTTCGAATGCAAGATCGTTAAGCGGACCCAGGACAATCTCATCGGATGTGTTGTCGGAGAACTGTGAAATGGAGCCAATCATTCGATGCTCAATGCTGAAGAGGCAAGCGACAAGATCGGCGACTTGTTCGATAACGTGCTGGCGACGTTTGGGGTCGAAGTCGGCGAAGCGGAGATCTGCTCGTTCGCCTGGCATATGCTGCATGAGAATCCATTCCAATCCCACTGGATTGGGCTCAGCGCAATAGCAATAGACCTCCGGCACGCAAGTACGTCGAGCTACAGGATTGTTGAGTGTCAGCTACCCAAAGCCGGATGCGAGATGAATGCACCCCGAAGCATTCTCATCGAAGTCACCTCTCCCTCCGTCTTCCACCGTGGTCGCCACGGGTAGACCAGTTTCGCAACAATAGAATCGACTTGCTGTTCCATCGAATCATAAAGCGTATACAGGTAGACAATGCCGAAACAGGCGTCTGGAACGCTGATCTCTTCCCGGTCGATCCTCCCGACTTGGCTGCATGGATTACGAAGTCGGAATTGATTCTCAAGAACGGCATGGAGCGCAGTGAGATCCGGTTGTACTTCCCACCACCACTGCGACATGGTAGGTCATGCGTTTGGCTCGAACAGGTGGAGCAAAAACTGCAAAGAGGAAAGCGGACGTGTGCTATATACAGTGCATGGGGACAGCGCGTGTCACGAGCGGGAAGCAAGAAGTTCTCCAGTGGCTCGGCGCTCTTCATCAACCACGCATCTCCATACGATATCGATGGCTAATATTGGCACTGAACGACTAGGTACGCTTGGTTAGATAGGACGACGGCTCACGAATGGGCGGCAGCAACGGCACCGATAGATCAGTTGGCTTGACATTACCATACTAAGTGGAAGGTGCAATCCTACTCGATTTGGATTGTATGCGCGCCTATCAAGTCGGGATCGAGCTACTTCCATTCGCACTGCACTGGCCTCAGGAGGGAAAGCTTGTAATGTGTTCATTGGATCGTGAGCGTCGTACAATGACACAGTCGTCAGTACCAGGTATCGCAGAATCGGGTCATCGAGGCTCGTAAGAACTTCAAAGCCAGACAATATCCAACGCCTCACTGCATTCCTTGCTACAGCTCCTCAGGAGGTACGCCTTTCCACCGGAGTCTTGCCGTCACCCCATCATTCCAATCCCTCACTCTCCTCTCCGCAACAAGGGAGAACGTGCTCCCGTCTGTGCCGACAAACCCCACGCTCATCGACTGGAACACGGCGTCCAGTATGGGGCTATACCACAACCCATAGCGCTCTTCTGTGCCAAGTGCGACATGGTCGATCGACGTATACCCCAGTGCGCGGACTTGGTCCCACCAGGCTGGGTCCTGCTCGTCCGAGGTGATCACGACTCGGTCGGTGAGGATGCCCTTTTGCCTCACTTTCTTTTTTAGATCAAACGGCCGCATACAGGAGGCACAGGTGCACTTTCCGGAAGACCAAAGTGTCGGGTGCATTCTACAGGCAGCTGGCTGACATTTCTGTATCATATACAATGCAAGTTAAGACATAGTATCTCTGGGAAAGGCTGTTATGAAATAGTCCCTTAAACAGTCAAAATTTAGTGGTATTCTGAGTATTCCAGGAGAAGTACTACACCGATGGCTTAGTGCAAATAGCTCTTCCCCAGCGTAATCATCCGACCCGACCAGCGTATATGCTTTCCCACAAACCGCGACTGTGGACTCCAGTCGTATTTCCACTCATAATCCTTGTCTACGCTCAAGTAGTAGACGAAGTCCAACCACATGAGGCGATTCGAAGGCTCCAGGACGTCGCCCCGCTGCGGAGAAGCTAGGGGGCGATTGTCTTTCAGCGCTTGGGTGCGACCGAATGGAAAGCTGAGCGTCATCAGTCGCTGAATCGCCAGATGCGGGTTGTTGTCTTGGTTGAGCTTGAACGATTCTGTCCGGACAAAAGGTGAGTTTCTCACCTAATTGAGAAGACGTACCTTACTTCGTGTAGAAGTATAGGAAACATCTACTGGGGTTCAGCAAATTCCTGCACAATACATAGATGGCCGCACCCAGATTCAGCTTTGCAGGAAGGAGTAATGCCCTTGGCTTTATCACCATCTGCAGAGCCCAGCCATGCACTCCAACACCCCAACCCATCCAGCACGGTACGATTCTCTCTTTTCACGTCCTCCCACTCCAACAAGGGCATATTCAGTTCCCTCTCCAGGCGGGCGAGGTCGAACACCTCCCCGAAGGAGAGGAAGCCGGCTGAAAGCAGGAGATGCAATGGCGGGAAGGGGGGGGGTGATGGGTATGCGCTCTGTGAGCTGAGCAAGATTGTGCTGCACATTCTAATTTCGAGGTCGGATTCGATGTTCGAACGGCACTCCGAACGACATTCCGAATGGGGTCCGGAAGGACAAGAAGACAATGGAAAGAAGAACGGATCTTAGGTAATTATAGATTAGGAATAGAGTTAGGATAGGATTCTGTGCACCCCCTGGGCAATGGCATGCGCGGACACTAGTACTGTGATCTCCTGGGACAAAGAGAGGCTGGAAGAAGTTAGCAGCACGTGATTCAAAGACGCGATGGATATGCAGAAAAGAGGCAGGGAAATAAGGCGGATAAATGATTACCAGATTTCCTCAACAGGAAGGTTAGGTGGAAGTCAAAGGAGGGTTTCCCCCTGCCCAGGGATAGTTAGTCTAAAAATCCGAACCGCTCCGAACCTATATAGGGAGGATTCGAGTACTTCGGAATAAGGACTCTTCTCCTCTTGGTTATCTCTTACACGACACCTTTAACTTACAGCCACTCCTTACTCTCTCTCTTACTCTCTAATTGAACTAATCCGAATTCTCGTTCGGACCTTTGAACGGCGCTTCGAGGCTCGCGTTCTCTCATCCCCACAATTCCTAGGCAGCCATTCGGCTCGGACGGCCTCTCCAGACGCTTGCGCCTCTGTGAGGACTTAGGCTCGCACGTCAGGAGGACTCGGAACTTGGACCGAATCCTCGAAGCCGCTTCGAACTAGCCTCCCCTTCGGAACAAATATTGATTCTTGCAAGAACTATACCTACGGACTACTATCTACGTGACCTCAGCAACTACCGTCGACTCCCCCTCCAGCGGACTTACTCCTGACGCCTCATTGGGAGGTGTAGAGTACAAGATATAGCAGGTTCGCGATGGTCATCATGTCGTTGGCTATAGTCCCCGGATCAGTAGGATCGCGCATTTGTGAGTAAGACTTACTCCAGCCGGCGTTGAGGAAAGAAGTGATATACTTCTTGTCGTCTCGGAGGTTCTCTGCGGTACGGTAAGCCTGTATAAGCAGGAACAAACGCATATACTTGCCATACATGGGCTCGGATACGAGACTGGTCCAGGAGACGGAGCGGTGAGTCTGGGGTTTGGGGGGGCATGGGGCATGGGGCAGACAGCTTGAGCGAGGTGCAGAGTGAGAGTAGGGAGGGAAGTAAGCTGAACATGATAGTGGTTTGTCCACTACGGCTCATGGTGTTAAACCTAGCGAATGAGTCTTGGATCTGATGATGTACGACATAGAGACGCAGAGCATAACAAGACTTGAACGACTCTTCCATGAGACTAGTGGTCGAAGCATGCACCGTAGCTGTGAACTCGTCTCCATCCTTGCAGCCGTAGTCTCTTGTCGAGGAGAAGAGTTACAGATGGAACTGCTGTAGCTCATCATAGCCTGATAGTTTTCCAGTTCAAAGCATCTTCAATCCAAGATAGAAAACAGGCAGTGTAGTAGACTCTCTGAGAGTGGTTCGTTGTTCATGCCAGCTCAGGTGCGACAAGCGCTCATGCCAGACCAGCCCATTGTTTTGATTGTTTTCAATCCGATCGGATCATGTTTATCGTCGGTATTCAATTCAAAGGATTGCTGGTGATGACTGATTCGAGATTTGGGCGTCTCCTTATCTTGAAGAGAATATCAAGGACATCGCTATATTCGACTCGTGTTAACCCTAAGGGCGAGAAATAGCAGCGTTATGGCAACAGGGAAGAGCACTGAAATAGCAGGTTCGATGTCTAAGAAAGTATGACAGAGTTCCAAGTTTATTTTCTACCCCCGAAAGACATGACCGATCGCAAGGAAGCAAGGAGCGAACGGAAGGCGAACACGTGCTTGCTCGGCATTTGTCGGCCATGTCCGAATCAGGCAATCATGCTTCCTGGCTTCCGTTCACGTGAAAGGGTGGACTCTTACCACCTCGAGTGCGCAGTATGCATTTGCTGGTATTCTCTAGGCAGCACACCAGGCGCACATGACCGAGACTGTCGGGCAATGTTTAGCATATTCCCTCCAGCACACAGCTGATTTCTCTTTCTCTCTATTGTATCATCGCGTGCCTACTTGTATCTCCAGGATCTCTCTCTCCAACCCGGACTAGGCTACTTGGAAGGATGGTCATCATTTCAACAGAAGCGACAAAAGTCACAGGCGTCGTCTCCTTCTATATGGCTGCGGCGCTCGTTATGGTCTTCGTAAACAAGGCAACTTTGAACGCTAACCCGGACCTACCATTGCTGTTTATCTTCAACCAGCTAATCCTCGCAGTGATCTTCGTATGCATACGCAATTATTCAGGCCATTGTATGCTAACTTGACCCTCAGCTGCACATCTCTGCGCTCTTCACAAAGCATATCGACCTCCCCCGCCTATCGCTGCGAACTGCAAAAGACCTCTTCGCAGTCGTGTTCGTCAACATTGTCGGACTTGCATTTAACACCCTCTGTCTGCGGGATGTCGAGGCGTCTTTCTTCCAGGTAAGCGCACGTTCCCCCATGGGATAGGCATGCACATGTGCTGGCAGGCACATGTGTTATCAGTTCGGGCCGAGGCCTCGAGTTCTCCGCTGTTATCGGCATGTCTACATTCAGCCGGAACTGACAAACTGTTTGAATAGATCGCACGGGGCATGGTACTGCCTCTCACAATCGCCGCATCCTCCATTCAAACCCGGAGCCGACCGTCAGCACTAGTCTTACTTGCCGCAGGTTGCGTAACGATCGGCTTCCTCCTGGGAATCGTACCCTCTCGTACTTTGCCAGTCCACGCAATACCCTCCGGGCTCTCGCTGCTCTATGGTTTCCTCAGCGCGCTATTCATCGCTGTCCATGCAGTGTTGATCAAGTCCTCCCTTCCGCATGTGAACAACAGCGCCATCCAGCTCGCATACTGGACCAACCTTGGCTCAGCAATCATGCTCCTCCCGGTGATCGTCTTCGACGGGGAAGCGTCTCGCCTCTTTGAACTTGTGACCAGCCAGATACAGCCTTGGGACTGGAGACCGTTCCTCTGGGGAAGCCTCGTGACCGGCGTCTTTGGCTATCTGCTCTGCGTCGCAGGCCTGCTAAGCATCAAAGTGACATCGCCCATAACACACATGTTTAGCTCGGTATGCTTGACATCCTCCCCAGGAAACCCCGGCTAACCCTAGAAAAGGCTGTGCGCTCCGTCCTCCAGGTACTGCTAGGCATCTGGATCTTTGGCGATATTTTGACCGTGTGAGCCGCGCCTGTCCATACGTCCCACCCTGTCACATACTCATATCGCGTGACAGCAACCGTCTGCTCTCGATCGGCACCATCCTGTGCGTTCCCCTGTTGTCTCAGGGCGTTCATAGCCCAGGACCCTCGCTGACGTCGACCCGGTTTTAACACAGGCTTGGCACGATGTACTATACGTGGATCAAGAGCCAGGAGATGGCCAAGCCTAGGCAGG